ACGCGCATTATCAGGAGTTTATTCAACTCAAATAAATTTTACTATGAAACAATTTCTCAAACGAATTAATAAACTTAATGCTCTTCCTGAACTCAAGCTACTCGAATTAACAAACAAAATTGAAAAAATTAATTTTTCTATTCATCACAAAATCAAAAAACTTACTAAACAATCTGAATTGAATATTACTGATGAAATTACTGATTTTAATTCTAGCAACATTGAAAAAATAATTGTTCAAGCATATGAAGCAGCACAAGATATGGCAGTATCAGTAGGAATGAGTAAAGATCTGATTAAATACGATCTTTTCGATATGGAACAATCATCACAATTGGCAGAGAAATTATTGAGATTAAACAATTTAACTGAGACGGAAATACTGATTATTGATGGTAGTAATAGTGAAGATAGTGATGAAGAAGATATTTTTGATGGATATGACTTTGAAGAACGTCTTGATGATGAAGAAGAGGAAGAGAAAAAGGAAGAAGAGGAAGATGATGATGACCCTGGTTTAGATGGTGATGAAGAAGATAATGTTGATGATGAAGAAGATCATGATGAAGTTGATTATGATGAAAATAACGAAGAAACTATTAATGATGATATTGACGAATCAGATGAAAATACTGGTGATTATGATTCATCTGAAGATGATGCACAACCAACGATTACTTTCGAAAATGTACAAGCAACATCTTTTTCAGGTGTTTACTAGAGAAATTGTGTCCTTAAGAAACTTTCAATAGAGAATTTAGCCGATCCCCTTAGATTTTATAATTTTCATACATTTGTTGATATAGACTACCAATAGTTTGTGTGAAATCATGCATAGATCCGAAAAGGATTTTAAACGATAAATGTTGGTGCTCTAATTCTTTTTACTGTCTCTTGCTGAACCTTAAACTGTTGAAACCATACATATAAATTACAGTTATTCGACAGATACATATTGTCGAGTTTTTTATCTCTTAATAATACAACATTTACATGATCAATCGTTTCTAGTATTATATAATGTAACAGCAGACATTGGAGATAACATTTCATTATTTATTTATTTGTTATATTTGAGACAACTAATTTTTTCCAAGGCTTGGTTTTAAATATTGAAATTAGAATAAAGAATACATAATATATCGCTCATTTGTTGTTTGCTGTTAAGCATGAAAGTGTTTAAATTGCTAAATATTTAGGGAAAGCTTTATCTCAATAGAAAGTAAACTGTGACAAGTGTCACTCTGAGCTCAAAACCGGGTACAAATACTGTTTTTTAGTCGATTTAATAATGCGATTTTTATCTGAATATTTGAATCTATGTTTTATTCTTTTGTTCTTAGGACTTCGATTAACTAGATCAATTTCAAAAAAAAATGTACATAAATATTTTCCAATTAGCGTGCATAACAAGAAAATGTTTTTACACAAAGCAACAGCATCCTGGTATTTGCAAGACAGACAGATTCGTTTATCATCTGATCGTGTTCAACGTGTTAAAATGAAAAAGGATTGATATTAGCTTTTTTAATGATTTATATATATTTATTGTAGGATCATTATATCTTTTTTTTATAGAACTAGATTATTTTATGCAGATTTTTTTTCTTGATAATTTGTTTGAACACGAACACTTACACTTAAAAAGTAAATGGAGAAACTCAATTTTCAATTTTCTAGATTATAACATGCGTAATAAAACAATTTTTGGTATTAACGTCAGTTATTGCACTTTATTTACGTATATTTTTCGATCGCTCTCATCAGATTTATTGCTAGTTGAAATTTTCTTAACTACGTAGTAGACACGAACCTTTAATACTATATTAGCGAAATACTGCAAGAAAACAGAATAGTATAGGAAAGTACAAGGGAGTACAAGGGAGTACCGAGGGAGTACCGAGGGAGTACCGAGGGAGTACCGAAGGAGTACGAGGAAGTACCGAGGGAGTACGAGGGAGTACCGAGGGAGTACAAGGGAGTACCGAGGGAAGTATGAAAGGAGTACCGAGGAAGTACAAAGGAGTACGAGGGAGTATGAGGGGAGTACGAAGGAAGTATGAAGGGAGTACCAGGGGAGTACGAAGGAAGTATGAAGGGAGTACCAGGGGAGTACGAAGGAAGCATGAAGGGAGTACCAGGGGAGTACGAGGAAGTATGGGAAGTACTGAAGTCTCGCTTTTTCCCCCTTGCCACAATCACATTTTATACAAACATAGCATGATTATTCTATCGATATATTCGATGAACCATTAAATGATTTTTTTTATATTAAATTTATTTTCAACAACGTCAATTATTGACATATATTCACGGAATTCAAATGAATATTGACATTTTAAGTCAAACCATGCTTTTGAACAATTCCAAAATAATTCACTAGATAAAGTTAAATCGATTTTATCTAACGTAAGTTCTGTACATAGATGCATAGCATGTTACTGCTAAGAGTGTCAGATGTTGCATAGGATTGAGTGTTGTTAATGAATTTATGTCAAATAGCACGTTCACATTGATTTATCTGAGAAATATTAAAAACGATAAGCACAGAAGGAAGAGCATCAATACACCCCTTTTTCGTGTAACTAGCTAATTGTACAACAAATCTACCAACGACAAAATCACTGCGAATGGTATTTTTCGATCTAAAAAATCAAAAATATGATCAAAAGAAGTTTTCTTGGATATGTATAGATAGCACATGTGTAGAAGTTTATAATGTACAGAAAAAGTTAATATGAAGATAGAAACTATTCGTATACTTTCTCAGTCTATTTTATACATGCTTGAACAACATTTAATGACAGGCTAACAAGTGAGGCAAATTCAATGACTACACTTTCCATTTCAATTTTCAATCATTTAATATGTTTGTATTAAAATACAAAAGATATCACAAGATGCAGCATGAAAAGCTCTACAATCTACAAAATAAAACTCATTTTATTTGTGCACTTTTTGTTTTCAGAAAACAGCAAAATCTTGTGTAATCCATTGTTGATGTTACGAAGAGAAGGAACGTCTTGTGTTTCAAAAAAATGATCTTATTCGTAGCATCAACAATGGATTGTACAAGATTTTGCTGTTTTCTG